CACGCAGCATTTACGTGAAGATTGGCTAAAACCCCAGCACCAAACAGCGCCAGAGAAGCCCCAGATAGCTAGAGTTATAAGTTTTACTTGCTATTACATAGGGGATTAAAGGTCTCTGCCATCTTGGACCAGAAGTTCAGATCGCAACCCAAAAGGAGCAGAAAAGGAGAAAAACAAATGAGCTACAGGCAGCATTGAGAGACGAGCTTCAGCATAGTCTGATCTTCAGGAGCCACCCAGTCTTGGAACTCCAGTCGTCCATCCACGCGTCGCTTTGAAAATCTCCGTAGCCACCTGCACAACTTGCTTTACGCCCTCCTTCATGCGATTTATTCTTTCTTGGTTTTTCTGCAACACACACCATTCATGCAAATTTTTAATGATCAGATTCACAGGAACACAAGGATTAATAACCCTGTGATTGTCAAAAACTAGTCTGTTTCTCAGTTTCCACATCGTCCAAAGCATAGGCGATATTCCCACTGTCATAAGATTCTTATCATTTTTTTTAAAATTTGTTTATCCATCTACCAAATATGTCATTAGTTTTATCAGGAACATCATGTATGTCGAAAGAACATTTCATAACCATCCAAGGCATTTTCGCCACCGAGCAATGTACAAAGAGATGCTCTATATCTTCCTCTCGACCACAAAAGGAACATTTTGTATCCCCTTGCCATCCTCTTTTTTTCAGGTTTGCTTGGTAAGAATACTCTTCCTCAGCAACAACCAGAAGAAAACCTTGACCCTAGGGGCATTTTTGTTTTCCAAAGGAATTTGTATGGATAGCGTAGCCCACTCTGGACCAAGTGTCTGTAACATGTTTTGACAACATATTTACCATCTCCAGACATAGTCCATTTAATTTTGTGTTGAGTTTCATCAAATGTCACACTCTCACACACCTCTCTAATGTGCTCCCATAGATGTAAAGATTCCCCACATAAAGATCTTCTAAAGCTAACTTTAGCAAGTCCTTCTTTCAAAATGTGAGCCACTGACTTTTCCTTATCAAAACAAATGTTGTAAATGTGTGGGTAACTATCTTTTAGAGCTTTAGGGCCAATCCACCAGTCTTCCCAAAATCTGGTGTTCTCCCATTGCCGACCTCACATTTACATAAAGAAAAGAAAAAGTTCTTGTGTTTCATCAGCTCTCCCTAGAATTGTGAGTCACCTTTCCTACTTTTGACACTGGTAATGCAATTCTTTTTAATGTATTTATATTTCAGGATCCTCTGCCACACCCCATCTGTGTTATAAATTTTCCACCACCATTTGCATAACAATGCTTTATTCATGAAGGCTAGATTGTGAATACCCAAACCACCCATATCTTTTGGTTTACATACCTCTCCCCATCTTACCAAGTGATACTTTTTCTTGTCATTACTTTCTTGCCATAATAACCTAGCCCTAAAAAAATTCATTCTTTTTTCCACTCCCACAGGCAAACCATAAAATGACATCATGAATTATGGGATTCCAGTCAGTGAGGATTGGATTAAAGTCAATCTCCCAGCACTAGCTAGCAGCCTCCCTTGCCATGTTCCACACTTTCCTTCCATTTTATTTTCGGAAGGTTTCCAGTCTTTGTTCTTAACTCCTCTCCTTCCTTCTCCCTCTCCCTCTCATCTTCTCTCTCTCTCTCTCCTGCAGCAGGGACTGATCCATGGCGCTACATCGAATCGAGTGCCGCCAACGCCCTCCATGGCTCCTCTCGTATGTCCGCCCCGGAGGCGGCGGCGACTTAACTGAAGCCGAGCTACGACCGGGCGGATGCTCAACTACATCTGCTACTCGTGCTTCCCCTGTTGAGCACCGACGACGATGACGAGGTCGAGTAGAGCAGCT